CACAAATCTCTGATTGTAGCCTAGGCGGCTATAACCCTTCACTCTCACCACTTCACACACTCTTCACCAAATCACAATGCACAAGGCCCAACGCATCCTATCCCCTACACACACCTCAAGGCGCTCTCTCATGCCTCTCGCATGATAAGGCGCGCCCGCATGCATTTCGACAGCCCTTGCGCGACCTCGTAACCTTATTAACGCTGACGCCGCCTAACCTATTCCGTGCGCAAAATAAAACAACTCCAACACCGTAAATATCCTCGAACACAAGATATGTAGAGATATAGGTTAAGGTGTAAGATACCACCCAGAAGAGAAATGCTGGTTTAAACTAGAGGAAATAGATAAGAAACCTAAAATTATAGAAAGCAATTTAGTAATAGAAGTAGATCTAAGAAAAAAAACGAATAGTCACACCATTGATCAAACTTAAGATGCTAGTTGAGAATAAAATAGAGATAATGAGAACATATGATTCAGGTTCTCAGTTCTCCTTAGTAAGTTCAAAGTGAATAAAGGTAAAAAATAATAGAAAAGACGTAAACAAAATATTCTGAAGGTCTGTCAATGGTGTGAATCATACAAATGGATTGTTAAAAAAGAGAATAAAAATATCTAATATCGAAAAAGAAGTAGACATATACGTAGTTGAAAGAGAAGATTTTGATGACTTCATAATAGGATTAGATTTAATCCATATGTTCATATTGAGGTTGGATGAAAATTTAGAAGTTTTACAGAAAACAGAAAAAGTGATAGAAAAACCAAAGATAATATTAAGTGAAATAAAAAGTGAAGCTAAAAATTGTTCAATTAATTTTAAAGAACATGTAGAAACAGATGTATTCCAAACAAAGATAGAACACTTAAATAGAGATAAAAAGATTAAAATAGAAAGATTAATATATGACAACAATCAGTGTTTGCAAAAGATAAATACGATGTTGGGACTGTTAATGAGTATAAGGCTAGAATTGATTTGATAGTGAAGAAATACTACAGTAAAAGGCCATACAGATGTACTATAGATGACAAAAAAGAAATAGAAAAATAGATAGTCAAATTACTAGAGAAGAGCTTAATCGAAGAGTCTTATAGTCTTTTTGCTGCACCTGTCACGCTAGCATATAAAAAAAATGAAGGAAAGACACGTATGTGTATAGACTTCAGGGATTTAAACAAAAACATTGTCCTTTAAGCACAACCATTTCCTTCAATAGATGATATAATAATAAGAACGAGAAATTATAAATACTTCACGACATTGGACATGAATTCGGCTTTTTGGTCAATACCACTAAGGATTCAGGATTGGAGAAAAACGGGATTTCTAACACAGGATAGACATTACAAATGGACATGTCTATCGTTTGGCCTAAAAACGTCCCCGGCTATATTTCAACGAATTCTGAGTAACATATTGAGAAAACATGGTGTTTGAAATTTGCCCTGCCGATGGTACGCTGGGAAGAATAGGATTCGCTACAAAGGTCTTAGCAATAAAACAAACTAGGTGCATGTGAATGTGCAATCGTCTTTAATCATTAAAAGATGTATAATTATGAGTACAATATGTATGAATGTGAATACAGACCAGTGAGTTGCACAATTTGAATGCTCCCCGACAGAGATGTTATTAATGCACTGTGAGTTGAGTGGTTGAGTGGCCTAAAAAGTCGGCGACCTGTTCCACATGATTGACACTCCACGAGGAGAGAAGAGTGTAGTGGTGACGTACTTAATGCGCCTTATGCTGATAGAAGCACCGATGGTCCGATCGCTACGTGAGAAGACCGATGAGTTTACCAGCGATGTAACTTTAACTTGTGAGAAGCACACTAAAGAGATATAATTCAAAGACAAAACTTAGGCACGTGCGAATGAACGAAAGAGTGAATTGACAATGGCCGTTAACAGCTGTTACTTCCGGGGAGAAGATGAAAAATATCGCGCATGCATGTCATAGGTCATGAGGAAGTGGTTTTGTGGCAGCCTGCTAGTGACAAATAAATCCCTACTATAATCACCGCTGCCAATCTCACTGCATGTTGGGTGCGTTCCACTAAGCGCTCACAACGATCACGCTCACGACCACAGTTTTTCCCGTTYCACTTASCTACGAGCGTTACTGTCSTAAATTCAAGTGGAATGGACTATGGTGCGTTTTGAGCGTGGAGGTAATAATACAAATGGCGAGGTAGTGAAAAGAAAGTAAAAGATTAAAGAGGTTGTACGATCGGAATCGATCGTGAGCGAGAAAGTAACATTTTGTAAAACGCGCCTTGTTCTAATTACCCTTTCACCTTCCTCACAATTAGCTGAATCCAATCGCCGGAGGACTCCATGTTGGAGGAATTTTTGGCAAATACAGAGGTTAAGATTTAATCTGTAATCCTTCAAAATAAACTTAAATAATTACTGATTACATTGATCCGTATTGAAAAAATTGATAATTAATGGTGTATTTAATTAACTTACGTTCAAATATTATTAAAAATGTCTTTGGCGGCAACCGTTGGATATTTGGTGATGCGCCGTAATAATGCTTCAGAAAGTAGTAGTTCATCCAGTTCAGATGAAGAATGGTCTACAATTTTACAAAAATATGATCATGAAAAAAGAAAACTTCGACCCCGTATTATTGATTACGAAAACGTTGTTTATCGTTACTCAGATGATGAATTCAAAAGTCATTTCAGGTAAATGATTATCTATCGCATACCTATAACATTGTAGATTATGGAAATTTATCTTATGTAAATCTTTGTTATTTTTTCTAGACTTTCAAGAAATACATTTAATTATTTACATGAATTAATACAAGAAGATTTAGTTCGGCATGTTCCTGGATGTCCTACGATTCCTTCCCATCATCAATTGATGATAGCCCTTTGGAAAATGGCTACAACAGATTCTTACAGGTCTCATAATTTTAGAAATAAACTATTCTGTCGAATGTAGCACAGTTAAGAAGTATGTGACTAAACTTTTGCTTTTTAATTTTATGGTAGGTCCGTCTGTGACAGATTTAATGTAGGACGAGCTACTGCCGTAAGGGCTGTACGTCGAGTTTGTCATTCTTTATTTAAAAGAGCCTCAAGATTTATACAATGGCCTACGGGGGATCATGCTATTGAAGTAATGCGCGGATTTGAGAGAGCAAGTGGTTTTCCTAAAACAATAGGAACCATCGATGGAACTCACATTCGTATAAATGCGCCAAAACAGAATCCAGTAGATTATATCAATCGGAAAGGATTCCATTCTATTCAGCTACAAGTATTTAATAACTGTTATATTTAAGTATATTAATTTTGGTATATAATTAAAATAGATTTTCAAAGAGTTAAATTTTTTTTGTAGTTGGTATGTGACCACAAAGCTCTGATAACCCATTGTTATGCTGGAAATCCTGGGTCTGTTCATGATCAACGAGTTTTTCGTTTGTCAGAAGTTGCAGATTACTTGAACGATGATGATGCATTCCCTGAAGACAGTCATATTCTGGGCGATTCTGCATATGAAATACATCAGCACTTACTCATTCCTTATCGAGATAATGRACATTTAAGTGAGAAACAGAAAAAATACAATTATCGTCAATCAGCTGCTCGGGTTACTGTTGAAAGATGCATCGGATTATTGAAAGGACGAATGAGGAGCTTATTACATTGTCTCCCAATGACTAGAGTARATTTAATGGCAGAGTATATCGTTGCGTGTTGCGTAATTCATAATATTTGTACTTTACGAGAAGATGAAATAAGTGTTATCACTATACCCGACCCTAATAACGAAAATACTGGTAACAATTTACGCGAAATTAGACGTAATGCAGGAATTTTGAAAAGAGATGTTATTATGAATTCCTTGAAATAATTATGATGATTAATTGTTAACTATGTTATCAGTCTTGATAATAATTACTAATCACTTTGAATCATGGGAATCTAATGTAAATTTATTTAGCAGTTGAAAATTATCAAAGAAAAAAAATACTTTCACTGAATATGAAAATTTCGAAATTTCTAAACTATTTATAAATACTATAATCTCAAGCTAATAAAAAAATTAAACATATTATTAGATCATATATAATAACACACACATGTAATATACTACAAGAATTGTACAAAATCAAAATTCCTAAAAATTAAACTTTATTAATTATAAAAACATGAAATGCACTTGTTGGTTTATTAAAAAAAATACTAAACTATTATAAAAAGATTATAAGCTAATTTGTACGTAGAATTTAATAGTTAAACATTTTTTTCTATAAAATTTAAAATTATTAAAACTTATCTTTAAAGAATATTTAAATATTTCACTATTTAAAGTTTACAACATTTTTATAAAATTTGAAACTATCAAAACTAATTTTTAAATAATACTTAAATATTTCACTATTTATTAGCTAACTTTTCTAAAACGTTGAGGAGTTTTTCATCCATCTCCATTCGCTCTTTATGTCTTTTACTTTTTTGTAGTTCATGTTCTTCTTTTTGCTTGAGCCTCTTTCCTAGTAAAGTGGCAATTGGTGTTCTCTTTGATTCTGAAATTAAATTCCATTTTTTACGATACTTTAGTGAAATAAAGTTTTCAGACGGAGTTAACT